CACACACAGCCAACAGAGACTCCTCTTAATATGTAGCTCATAATGAGCATCAAGTACTTGACAGCTTGACACTCGTTAAACTTGATTGATTGAACGGCGACGTCGAACTTGACTTGAAAACTTGACTTGACAAGAAGTCGAACTTGATTGAAACTTGTCAAGTTTAAGCTTGATTGTTAGCCACACTGGACTCTCAACATGGTCGCAGAGGCATTGTTCGGTCCAGTGCTTAAGCCACATATCGACATTTCTGATCGCGGCTTTGGCTTGCTCACGAAAGTGTGGATATATACTGCCCAGTGAAACCGAAATGTCTTCTAACAATTACATGATCAACCGTTTGGTTTTCTTTGTTGGGCGGCGCAAAACGCATCCTTCGCGGATACGCAGCGAGCACATGGCCACAATATTCCTGAAGACTACTTTTTCAGCATCAAAAGCTATCGCGCAGTTAAATAACAACTATCAGCCGCCAGAGAATTACACTTGCTCACTCTACAAAGTTTTGGATAGCGAATGGAAAACGCTCTCGAAGCCATCTTTAATGTCTTTCAGAGTGGAGAGGCCATCGCCATGGCGGGCCTAATTGACCGCGATGATCACTCCTGTTCATTCGTTCCCGGCTTCTCGTGCATGCACAGCGCGGGTACATGATTTGGAAACTCGACGGTATCAAAAAGAAACGCAAGTGCATATACTTAATCGCGTTCTCCTTGAAAAGGCAGAGAGTACGCTGCAGGGTTAGCATTGCTTGCTGTTGCCAAGAGTTGATTAACGGTTCGGTCGGAACGGTGTAAAAGATGCATAAAAGCGATCGCTTCAGTGCAAGCAATATCCGGGGTTACTAGAGCGGCTTGTGTCATGACAGCTCCTGGGTCTGGAGAGTCTGCAAAGCTTGGGCACGCAAAAATGTGGCTGGGATTGCAGAAGCCGGTTGTCTTTCAAAAGAACGTGCAACCACAAGCTTTTGCCGTCTGGGACTCACTGAAAAAAAGTTACTGCAAGCACAATGACAGAAGCTATGTCATGCACCGCCACCACAGCAGCGCAACGGGCCGTCGTCAAACGTTTCCACTATAATAGTGACATGTCTTTCTCCGCTCCATAGATTATGCCCCGCAAACTTCATCTAACATAATAATATCACAGCGTTTTAGCTCGCAGATGATGTCTAGTCGTCAGCAGGTCAAAACCGCGTGCCAGCGCTGCCGCTAGAAACAAACAAAGGTGCGTCCTCTCATTCCGCCTCACTTACACATAAACAGACAACCCGCCCACTACCAGCTCCTTTTCTATAAATATTATCCTACTATTATAATTAATACTATCTTATAGTTATATATATAACGCTAACACCTAATTTCCTAATTAGTATAACAGAGAATAGCCCTATAACTAATATAAGTAATAAGGTAAAGTCTATAAATATAACCGCTATAAAAGGGTATTAAAGAGTAAACTACGCGCTAAGATTAGAAGACTAAGATAGCGCCTAGAAGATACTAAGTCGTAGTAGGCTTAGGACTAGGGTAGAAGTGCCACGACGAACGGTAGTGTCGTGATATAGGGCTAGATCGATACTATTAATTAGTCTAATTTAGATAAGGGTCCTTTTATGCTGCCGGGAGGGGATTAAGCCGCATTTTCGTCTAATTTAATATTAAGGGGGACCTTGCTAATAGCTTCGTCCTACTTTAACTAGCTACTCTCCTAGTGATCTTATTATCCTATATTCTAGTAGCATAACACGTTAAGAATATCTTTATTACCACTCTTATCTTATAAACTATTACTTTTATTAGCACCGCTTAATATATATATAACACTAGCGCAGATAGATAGGTAGACGTAGGTAAGATAGACTTATATATATATTTAGTACTTATTTAACATTCTTTTTACTTAAGACTATATCTCTTTTTATATTTTATATAAAACTAAGTTTCTATAAGACTATAATACTAGTTCCTCTTAGTTTTACTCCTTAGCTTTAGTATATATATTATTAGCACTCTCTATATAGCTTATTAATAAGATAGAGGATAATTCCTATATCTTACCCTCTAGCTAGCTTAGAAGTAAGTATTTTTTATATAAAGCTAAATCTCTACTTTAAGAGTAAGAATTAGGCTAGAGCCTACTAGACATTTAGTCTCTAGGCATACTAGCCCTTTATTATATTTAATATAGTTAAGAGAATAAAGTAAGGGAGCTAGCTAAATTATATACCGTGGGCATTTGCTTATTATGCTTTAGAGAGTATAATATTACTAAATTAGATAAGCTATATATTAAGGTTTAAGCGGTAATAAATGGTGGCGTAATATCACTTCTTAGGTGTGTTTTAGGAGATTTGCCTCTACTACTTTATAACATTTAACCATAACTAATCTATATACTAGGATGTTTTATCTAACTATTAGGGTGCTGTTTAACGATGCTGGAAACACTTTAGAAGATTCCTTTATACTAGACCAACTCCTATAACCCTTGATGATGATGATTAACCCTACAATGACGAAGGAGCAAGTACAATGTGTCGGGGTAAGCCGGGGTCACCTTTAAGAAAACCAACAGAAGCTAAGATTAATATTCTTTTTAGATCTTTCTACTGCGATAGACTTCTAGCCTATAAGCCCCCGTAATCTTAATACTAAATTATTTTAGCTCATAGAACTAGTGTACATAGCCATCGTTACGAATCGAAGAGCCGCTCTATTAATAAAAGAGGACATTATTATAACATACTAGAAATATCTTGTGTAGTATAGCGAATTATTTAAGCTTATTAGAAACAACAGCAGCCGAAGCCCATTTATTCTCTTTATTTAGTAAGCTGCTATTATTATAACTTAAATGAGTATGCTGACGACGTCGCGTAGTATGTACTACCATTTTTATATTCTCTGCACCTTTTAACCATTTAACGGTTCCGACTTTAACCCTTCTAAAGTCCAGCCTCACGAGATGTGTGTACAAGCCGTACAGTTAATCCTTATCCTTGCCCAGTCCTACGACGATCTCTTTACACTACGGCGCGTTCCGGCTTAGATTCTGTACTTTATGTGCGCTTCTAGGCTCTTTAGCCTCGCGATCGAAGATAGCAGAGCAGATATAGACTTTGTAAATTTGCGTCCCAGGGCAGCAATCAGTCCGCAGAAACCCTATCTATCAAACTTACAAAGAGCCGGCTTCTTTACTCCCGAGACGACAGCATCGTCAGAGATCAAAAGTTCGACGGTGGTCCAGGCCCGGCTTCTACTGTCAAGAATAGGCGCAAGTCACCCTACGGCGGCAATGGCCAAAGAGAAACTCAACGAAAGTCTAAAAACTTGGCGGCGGTCAGGAGGAGCTGGGTCTAACTGAAGGCAAAGATCATCGATGCGGCGGCTTACTACACATCCACCCATCCGCTGAATATGTATTGTCTTTAGCGTGTATTAATATTCACCCACCACCACCAACAGATGTAAAGCATTTGATCGGAACTAGTGACTGGCGTAGCGTATTTGCGATAAGCTGCGTGCGGGAACTGCTTATCTATCAGTGCAGTTCTGCATAAGGCTGATAGCTGAAGTCTTGAGTACTGCCAGATCCACGTTTATATTGGAGCTACTTCAAAGATTGCAGTTGAGCACACACGGGACCTATACGAACAGAAAATTACTACTGAAGTATACTTGGGCCTGCGGAAGTAGTAGATACGCCCATCTGCAGCGCTAGCCGACCTTCGTGATTGATAGCCTTCCTCAACACCAATGCTTGTCTGCACGCTATGGGCGCAACAAGAAGACGGCTAGAAGCGTTCAGTATTGGCAGAGAGCTCATAGCAAAAAGCCGTTCAAGGTAAAAGATCTCAAGCATACGTGTGTAGCCTCAGTGTAGGAACACGGGGCGCTGCCTAAACTCAGCAAGCAGTCCATGGGTTGCAGCTGCTCAAGGATTTCCCAGCTGGCTAATGACGATGATCTCGGCCCAGGGTCATGTAGGGGCCGGAATAGATTTATGTAATAAATCTGCATCGGGTCCCGAGCCGTACGCCAAACAACATGGCGCCTGCGCTAGATTTCCTCGCAGCCGTCGCTCAAACTCATCATCCGTCTTAAAGGATCAGCT